AAAAAAAAAAAAAAAAAAAAGGTGAGGGTGCTCAGGTACCGTACCCCTGGTTATGCCACTGACTAACCTAGCTTTTAACCTAACTGCTTTCATCTCATCGTTACATAGGAAACAAAATGTGGTTCAATCCAGAAATATTTCATCCTCTATGGCTAATGAGGTAACTCCTCGTTCTGAATAGATATAGGTTTGAATTAGTGATACTTCGTTTTAGACTTGAAAACTGTATGTTTCCTTGCATTGGGAACTGTATCAATATTTTTATTTATTTATTTATTTCATTTCAACAGACCAACAGCGAATCATCGCCACTAACAGGCTGGTAAAATATATAAAATTTAAATATATCAAATATACAGACGAAAGAGTACAAACATCTCACCTCTATATTGTTTTATCTCATAAATACTGTAAACATTTTGTTTTCGTTTACATGGTTTCTTTTTGTTTTTAAATGTTAGTAGACATGGTCATTGTATTGGATAATGTCTACCACATCATTAACCAAAGCGTCTTACTATTAAGTGGTTCGTAACTTTCTTGTTCTGGTTATTAATACCGTATGAAAGCATACGTCCATAAACCAGGCCTGTGACTGAACTAACAATACCCTGCATAGCATTCAACATTGGGCGTTTCTCAATATCGGTTCTATTAAAGGTGACCGGTGATTGTGATGGAAAATTCACTCTCTTTTGTTAACTTTGACGTAGGACCTTGAACGTGTACCTGCCTGTGTCTGCTCAAAGGGATAAATACTTTTAATACACGGGAAAGCATTGCATAAAAGCACCTACACCATGTTTCTACGCTTCATTAATTTTTCCAAAAATAGCATTGTATTCAGAAAAATCAACCAGGCCGACAATTAATCAGTAACGTATCTCAAGAAGCTTTCTCGATTCCCAACATTTTCCAAGTAAAACAAAATCTCTCAAGTAGTTAAAATCACTTCATATCACCTTAATGTCAACTGCGCCCCTCACATATTCAACGAACCCTCCCAATTAAACTTCGCACAGTCCGTCCCCTTTCAATACTCTATAGATACACCACTGGTTCGTTTTCACATGCCATAAAATGTTTTCAATGGTCCAAGTTTTCTAATGATTTTAAAGTCGGTCACTGGCCAGGCGCGGATCCAGAGGGTGGAACGCTGTCAATGCATATCAGTGTTATGTATTAAAATAAGCGGACTCACTTATCTATTCAAAAAATGTTCCCCCTCCCCCCCCCTTCTGTTTGAACAATTCTGGACCCGCCCCTGTTGGCTTTGCTTATTTTTACGAGGTTGTAGGTCCCTACCCGCTAATGTAATATTATCGTAACTCAGGAGTCCCGGATGTGGCTGATTTAATTCATTGTACTTCACCGTCATGAAAACAAAATTACAGTTTGCAGAAATTCTTTCTGGTTCTACATATTGAAAAAAAGATACAATAGATATCACAGTGTCCAGCATCGTAGGCCTACTCCAAATAGTATCAATTATTAATGTTACAAACAATATTATTATTAGATGTGAAAGATGCAAATTAGTTTGCGCTAGTTCAATATTTGCATAATTTCATGAATAATACAAATGATTGAAAGTACCGGTAATTATTATGAGTACAGTACTGTAAAATACGACAAAAATAATTTTTTTTTTCTGCAGGAAGTAGCGTTTTACTTGTCTAGTAAGGCCTATTCACAAATATTATTCTACTGTCGTACTGCCTTTAGCTATTGGAATGATAAAGTACATGCAGCCTACTATAATATAAATATGCTCTCCTGCATGGTCGATCGATTCTAATATTCTTTTTGTTGTTGTTGAATATTATAATCGATATCCAAGTGCATTGACTGTCTTCACTCGACTGGGTGATATGTGAGGGAGGAAAATTTGGACACAGGATTGGAAAGGGTGCCGCGATGACTGCCAATGACCCACTGAAAACTGTAGGACCGAGG